CCTTTTAGAAAGCAAACTACTACGGCTCCCTGCTGCAGGCATCCACTGTTTGTCTGGGGTCAGGGCTGGAGGGAGAGGTCAACGTGCCGTTCCGTGACCTGCTGCCCATGGTGCACCCTAATGACATTGTTTTTGACGGTATGGAGAACCCCAGATATTCACCTCATGGGTTAACCTGTAACACCTCAATGCGATTATGTAGGAAAGTGAAGACAGGGAGACTTTTGTTAGCAAAACCTGACCTTAAAGCTGTGGCTTGAAAATCCAATGGAAAGCAAGTGAATGTGAACCAGTGCTGGCTCAAGTCATAAGCAAACAATCACACTGCTTAGGGCCTCCAGGCCAGCAGGGGGCCCCCAAGATCTCCGTACTTGTAAGACAGAAGATTTGTGTTTATGAGTCCTTTATTTTCACTCAACTTTGTAAACAAAGAGCTTAATTTAAAAGATTTCTTGAAGTTTCATTGTGGGGAATACTATTTTTAGTACAAATTTTGCATAGTACATGACAATCTAGATGAGTATCTTTGTGTTTTAATGGGAAACGATAAATTTAAAGTCTACCAACTGCTGCCAAGTGCTGGCTCTGATATGAACTAATGTTCATATCGGAACAGAGAGCATAGTGACGTTTCTCTAGCTAATCTGTGTCGTAAAAGTAAAATTCCTTTAATTTGTGATGGATCCATGTCTTCAGGTTGGGACATCTCCTCACTGGATCTGGGCAGAGCAATGGAGCGAGCGCAGGTGCTGGACTGGTCCCTGCAGGAGCAGCTGCGACCGTACATGAGCAGCCTCAAACCAAGGCCTTCCATCTATATACCCGAATTTATTGCAGCGAACCAGGAGAGTCGGGCTGACAACGTCCTCACTGGCACCATGGCGGAGCAGGTAACGGATGCTGCCACTCCCCTTTTCTTTTTATTTTTGATCAATTTTAGCTGTTATTGTGCCATTTTATTAAAAGAAAATATGTAAATGATTTTCCAGATGGAGCAGATCAGAGCTGACATTAGAGACTTCCGTCGGTCCAGCGGCGTGGACAAAGTCATAGTTCTGTGGACGGCCAACACGGAGCGCTTCTGCGATATCGTCCCAGGGGTCAGTGACTCAGCCAAGAACCTGCTGGCTGGAATCCAGGTGAGAAAGAGCTCTATACGAGGTTGCATTGAGCAGGTTTGGTTTGAAGTCTTCAGTTCTCTCATCTGCACACTTTTCCTCCTCCTCAGGCTGGAGCAGCAGAGATTTCTCCCTCCACTCTGTTTGCCGTAGCCAGCATTCTGGAGGACTGCGCCTACATCAACGGCTCTCCGCAGAACACCTTCGTCCCTGGGGCCATAGAGCTGGCCATGCAGAGAGGCGTGTTCATCGGCGGCGACGACTTTAAGTCCGGCCAGACCAAAATCAAGTCAGTTCTGGTGGACTTCCTGGTCAGCGCAGGCATCAAGGTAAGATAGTACACTTTTTTTTTTTCTTTAGACGGAAAGTAATCCAGGATTCAGCAGCTTTGCTTCGCCTTGACAGCCGACGTCCATCGTCAGCTACAATCACCTCGGCAACAACGACGGGAAGAACCTGTCCGCCCCTCAGCAGTTCCGCTCCAAGGAGATCTCCAAGAGCAACGTGGTGGATGACATGGTCCAGTCCAATCCTGTGCTGTATCAGCCTGGGGAGAAACCTGACCACTGTGTGAGTGAAATATAAAAAGCACAAACGCACACTGGAACTTTTGTGTGGATGCTCAAGGTGAACCTCTGCCGCATCTCCCTCCTACATCAGGTGGTGATTAAACACGTCCCATATGTGGGAGACAGCAAGCGCGCCATGGATGAGTACACATCCGAAATAATGATGGGCGGGCTCAACACCATCGCGCTCCACAACACCTGTGAGGTTAGTATCAATGCATTTCAGCAACAAAACCGCCATGAGATTAGAGTGGAAGCAGTGTTACAGCGGAGAGGCTCAGGAGCAACTGATCCCGATGATAATCCATCTTTTTAAGCCTTAAATCTAATACAAAGAGACACATGCAGGTCACACACTGTCTTAACTCATTCTGCTACCAGCTGGACACAGAAGCACAGCATCCAAGTTAAATTTGTTCATTGATCAATTTTCAAAACTCTTTAGTTAGGGAACTTTTATAGGCACTTGTACTAGATTTTATTTGGGGTCAACAAAGTAAATGGGGAGAAGGCAAATATACACTTTTTGATAGTATTTTTAAAAAATTTGTAGTACTCCAAATTAAACACATTCGTCTTGATTTGGGATATTTTTACTCTGTCTCCCTCTAGTGGTTAAAAAGAAAAAAGGCGAGCATTTCTGCAGAATGCCTTGCCCACACCATCAGACATCTAAATAGCTTCATATGAGACATAGCTCTTCTATATTTAACAGCTTCATTTATTACCAAATACTACTCTAATTTGAACTTAGTTATTCATAATAATCAAGATAAACTAAGAAAACAAACGCTTTGTTTTGACTCAGCTTAAGTTTTCAATTTTCCTCTTTGAATCTTAACAGGACTCGCTCCTGGCCAGCCCGATCATCCTGGACCTGGTTATCCTGACTGAGCTTTGCCAGCGAGTGACAGTCAGGCCTCAGGGAGAGGAGGACTTCCAGTCCTTCCACAGCGTCCTCGCTCTGCTCTCCTTCCTCTGTAAGGCCCCTCTGGTCCCATCAGGGACTCCAGTCGTCAATGCCTTCTTCCGCCAGAGAGCCTGCATAGAAAACATCATGAGGTATGAACTGCTTTCAAATGAGAATGTGTTTTTTTTTCTCTCTCTCTCTAATGAACTTAACGTTCCATCCAACACAAGAATTGTAAGTTCTGACTGATCTCTTTTTGTTCTTGTCCAGAGCGTGCCTTGGCCTTCCTCCCCAGAACCACATGCTGCTGGAGCACAAGCTGCAGAGGAACTTCCTGACGGCGCACTCAACCTACATCAACAACGATGTGGCCACACTAAAAAAAGCCGCCCTCGCCAATGGGAACCATACCTCTGTACCACTGAAAAACGGCATCTACACTCACCAGAGCGACACGGCTTGCGCTATGTAACGGCAGATATTCCACTGAAGCCCAAAATGGACTGCTGCGAAGTTTAATGAATTGTTTGAGATGAACAAACACCCCAGTTGATCAAATTTTGATCCAAATATAAAAAGGAATTAGCTAAATGTGCTTGAGGGTAGAGACCACAGTTGTTTAGAAATGTGTGGAAACCACACACAGTAACTGACCAAATCTTTTGTGTACTCCACCTTTTTAACATTTCACTGTTTTTAAATTACTTAATGCTGTTTTTACGAGTTTACAATGTTTAAATTAAAGTAGGTTTTCAAGTTTAGAATGTTAAAGCACAAATGTAATGTATATATCTGAAAAATAGATGTTTAATACTGTATTGTTTCTACTTGAATAGACAGCCTATGGTGTGAAAAGAGGGAATGTTGCATTCACTGGTTTAGGGTTGACATCTTGTTTCTGATGTATTGCAGAATTCTTAAAGGTTTTATGTGAAATTGAGTATTTTACAATAAAATTAGAATTTTTAGGTTGAACATTAAGTTTTTGTTAAATTTATCCGGTGTCTCACGTTTGGTTAAATGTTTTAACAGACAGGCTGTACTTAATGAGTAATGTAAGCAATTTTTGCTCTGGATTTTGTTTAAGAGTTTCAGTAAAGTTGCTAAGCATGCAGGCTACAATATTTTAGACTTTAATATAATATTTTATCATTAGCAATTATACACTATGTTTTATTGGTCCAACAACTAAAATCCAAACTAATAAAAAAAAATAATGAATGTGTTGTTGCTGATAAGGACAGATAAAACCATCCATCCATTTTCCTTCACCCTTGTCCCTCAGTGGGGTCGGGAGGGGTGCTGGTGCCTATCTCCAGCTCACGTTCCGGGCGAGAGGCGGGGTACACCCTGGACAGGTCGCCAGCCTGTCGCAGGGCAACACAGAGACACACAGGACAAACAACCATGCACACACACACTCACACCTAGGGGCAATTTGGAAAGGCCAATTAACCTGACAGTCATGTTTTTGGACTGTGGGAGGAAACCGGAGAACCCGGAGAAAACCCACGCATGCACAGGGAGAACATGCAAACTCCATGCAGAAAGACCAGGGCCGGGAATCGAACCCAGAACCTTCTTGCTGCAAGGTGACAGCTCTACCAACTGCACCACCATGCAGCCCTAGATAAAACCAGAAGGTGTGTAATCGAAAATATATAATTTCACAGCTACTTGACCTCAGATGTTCAAAGTTAAAGGAAACTTTTATTCTCCTATCTGTATCATGAAAAGACAACCAGTTAGCTGCCACTTAAATCCTTCTGTCACACGATTCAGGAAACAGTCAAATATCCTATTTAATCACCGAAATCTTTTCGAATTGAACAAGAATTGAAAGCACACATACCCACAGTGTTGCTTTAATTCTTTCATATTTGAATCTCCCATAGCAACCATTCAGGGGGTACCTAAACGCTGCTTATTTCCACAAAGAAGGGCTGAAGAGCAGGAGCTCCTTAAAGAGACAGAGGTCAATTTCAAATAGTCAAACTAAGATGCAAAATGTCTTTCAAATCATATTTGATATATATATAGTATTTTATAACAACTGTTTCCCCTTTAAAAAAGATTAGAGATTTATAAAAGCTTAATGAAGAGCTGAAGATGGAGTACTATTTTTAAACAGTTTTTCTAAGATCATTAATACAACCAAAAAGTGTATAAGGTTCGAGCTTAGACTGAATTATTTTTATGAACTATAGATTCTTTGTAATTCAATTTGGCCTTGTGAAACCCATCTGGAGCAGAAATCAGATGTTTACATAAATTTTTTTTTCAGTCAGGTACGATATCAAAATTATTTTATGAGCAAAATAAAGTATATTTTTTCCAAATCTATCTATCTATCTATCTATCTATCTATCTATCTATCTATCTATCTATCTATCTATCTATCTATCTATCTATCTATCTATCCAAATGTATTGTTCTTTACTGTCATTATATTGACAAATTTCAACAATGCGCTATTATTGTATGACGCACTGCTTCCTGCTTCCCGACCGGTGCTCCATCACTTCCGCTGCCGTTGCTGCGACACGGGACGTCAACAGCGATGGCTGACAAGGAGAAGCGCCGGTCTGCGGCTCTTCCTTCGGGGATGTCCTCGGGCAAAGTCGTCAAATCGGACAGCGAGAGGGAGTTCCTGGAGCAGGCCGGCGTCGGGGACCTGCTCCGCGGGGCCATTCTGAAGATGGTCGAGGCCAGGTCGGATGATCCCATCGGGTTCCTGGCCGACCACTTCTGCAACCTGGCCTCGGTTACGGACAGCGGGACGGCTGGATGCGGGGATGAGGACCAGCAGCAGCAGCAGCAGCAGAGCACCGGCCTTGCTGGCGCAGGCGCACACGAGCAGCAGCGTCTTAACAGGGCGCTGTGGCACCTGCGGCTGGCGCATCACTCTCAGAGGTGTGGGCGGATTTATCGCTCAATTTGAGGCACCCATAGACACCAGCATTTGTCAGTAGGATTACTATTCGCGAGACTACATTTGCTGATTGAGAAACACTTAAAAATGTATCGACAATTTTACAAATGCGTATGTATTTTTTTTTCAAATGTATTCATTTTACAGAAACATATTGCAAAGTATAATGTCATGATTTTATGCGATAGATCAACACAAAATATTATTAATTCTCATATTTTTACGTATTTATTTGGAAACAGTAAAAGAAGGAGCTCATGAGTCAAGTCAAGTTTATTTGCTTACAGCACATTTTCAGCATCAAGGCAGTTCAAAGTCCTTTACATTATAAGAACACCATACAGATGAAATAAGATGCTTGACCTGTATGCAAATTTGGGAGAAAACAAGCACTGCACCGTGAACATCCCACCCCAGCAGTACATATTGTGGTGGCACCGATACACCACCACAATATTTATTGTGCATTTTTTATTTTTAGAAACATGTTTACTTTATCTTCTACTTTACAACAAGGCAGTTTTGTGTTGGTCATCACATAAAATCGTAATTAAAGACACTGAAGTTTATGGGTGTAATGTGAGAAAAAAGTGAAAAAGTTCAATGAGGTTTTTTTTTAGGGATACTGTATTATCATCCCAACAATTTCATTTCTTATTATTAGTATAAGTTATCATACTGGCAGTAATGTCTTTGAAAATATCTGTTTACTGAGTTTATAATGCTATTTTTTCAATAAGACATTTTAGCACTGTTGTCAGAAAGAACAAAACACTTGATTATTCACTTAGCTCCAAAAAAATCCCCCTGCTCTTATTCGTCTCTAGCCCTCTGTCTCGGAGATTGCTGTTTTTCTGTCGCTGCTGGGAAAATAACAGTCAATACGCATCTTTAGTAACAATAAACTAAAAAAAGACATTTTTCTACACATTGACCATATGATTTTTCTGTATTTTAGATCAGCTTTCAGCAACAATGTTCGTGTGGCCTACGACCTCCTGAACCTTAACGGGTGTCTGAGGCAGGCAAGTGAGAATCCGGAGGGCCCAGATGGTTCCTGCCTTGACGTCCCTCCTGACGCAGAGGGCAGCGGGGGCGTAAAAGGAGGCCTCTACACGCAGACTCTGGAGTGCCTCTGCAGCGAAGGCGGCGTCCCTGCCTCAACCTCCGCCCCGCTCCTACGACGCCTCTGCTGCCAGGACCACGAAGCTGTCCCTTACGATGTCTTCCGTCATGGCGTGCTCACCTGTGCTGTTTTCTCGGACTACATCCGGCAGGCTCAGAGGCTTTACGCCGAGGTGTGCTGCCCCGACGAGGGGCCAGCCACCAGGGCCCTGTGCTCCGCAGTGCTTGGGACCTTAAAGGAAGCGCTTGAGACCTCCCAGGACTGTGATGCAAACTGCTTCGTTAATGCCAACGCTAAATCTAGTGCTTGTTTGGAAGCAAATGCGAAGGCTATCCGCTACTTGGAGGCCAGCGCCAAGATCTCCCCCCACAAACTGGCACAGGCCATGGCCGGAGCCCAGACCCGTGGGCCCGGTGGCAACATGGATGCGAAGGAGTTTGAAAACGCAGCCGCAGACCTGTTCATCGCTCGTGTAAAAGTTGTATCCTAGAGGTACATAGATGTCATGAATGTACAGCAATAAACAATCCTTCATCTCTAACACACGTCTGAAAACTCCAGAATAAAAACAAACCTTAACACTAACAATAAACTCAGTAACCACAGTAAACACTTTTGGTGACTTCTGATATTTTATTAAATCAGCTCCTATAAGTATTCGTCTTCAGAAACTTTTTTAATGAGAAAAAAACAACAACAACATATATTTCTGCAAGTGTAATTACTTTTTTAGTATCTAGATCACAGATTCTTTTAGGGAGAGATATTTTGAAATAGTAGTACAAGCCCTTCACTTGTTGAGCACAAAATTAAAAACTAAAAGGAAAAAAAAATCTTATCTATTGCTACAGCATGCTTTTTTTTTAAAGGATGTGATTCAGTTAAACATGCAGGTCATTATTTCTCAGAAGTCTGGTATTTCCAAATTGGAAAAGTAACAAAAATATCAATCAGAATGTCTCTCCAACCTCACTATCAAAATATAATATGCCTGCCACACATAAAATTTAGCTACACCTGCTGTAAGAAATGTTGATTAGCCTTTCTGATGATTTGTGTCTCAAACGTTTCATGCATACACTGAACCTCCTTTAGTTAATATTGCTCACTAAGCAATATATTATTTTAAAGAAAATACAGAAAAATATATTTTTTTGTTTTGCAGACATTGAAGTAGCTATCCTCGTTTAGAGATTTTTTTTCATCCAAAGTTGCGAACATGCACCTGATCCTCCCAAGTGTGCTGGCGTCGACAAGGAGGGGAATCAAAACATTCTCCATTTGGCTTTTCTATTGTGACTAAGTGTGTCAAAAATAATAATGGTATTTTAAAAACAATCCAACGTGTCTGGAAACTTCTACCAAATCATTGCGTCACTAAAAATTCAAGTCTGAGAAGAGAGTAAATCAAAATTAATTACAAGCACAGAACAATAAAGTACTACCATTAGTCACGATTTGAAGAAGAGATAGATATTCAACATAACACAAAGAAACTAAATAAAAAAAAACTGTTAAAGAAACAACAAACAGCATTTGCGTAGACCACCTCTTTTTGTAGCTACGGTGTCGGTTTTACTGTATTTTTACTGTATAACTTTATGAAGTCCGTTTTATTATCAATAAAAAAGCGAAAATTTGGACTTTGCTCAATCTTTGACCTACAGACACAGTGACTACGTATGACCACTAGATGGCAGCACCATTTAGAAACAGACATTGGACGCAAAGGCGGAAGTAAGCATCATAGCTTGGTTGTCGCTTCTCTAACCGTTCAGATAGTTCAGTATGATGCTCTCGCCTTATCCGAGTTAACTCCCCGTTAATTTCTCCAGAATGGGAGACGAGGAGGAGCAGCAGCGCTCCTTGATGTTTCTCCTGACCTACATGTTGCTGAAGCGCAGGAGAGACATAAACCACGCAGACATTCAGAGGCGCGATGAAATCCAGAGGCGCATCCGACATCGACAGTACTTCTTCCAGAGACAGAGGAGGATGCTCATGGTCAGTGCTTTGGGAGCCGGTTCGGTAATAATCTATAGTTATTGGCGCTTTGAACTTCAGTTTTAGTTAAAATGTCTCAAATCCAGAGCTGAACTCTAGTTATGGGGTCCCATTTGCACACATAACTGTGTTGTGTATTTGTACACCAGGGAAACTCCAGGTAAGAGTTTTAAAGCCTTTCTCTTTACGGTGGCTTTCTTTCATTCATTCCTTCATAAAGGCTAGTTGTATAGAAGAAACTACTAATATTGTCAACATACAAAAACATACGGTAACACTTTATTTGAAGGGGGGTGAATAAGGCTGTTGTGACACTTTCATAAACATGACATAACACCTGTCAAGAACATGAATTAGCCTTCATGAATATTTATGACTGTTGTCATAAAGTGTCATTCAGTAAATTATGACACTTTTAATACAAAGTTGACATTATTCAAAATGTCTTTGTTATGACAACTTGACATTAATCAAGAAATCATTACTGTTTAAACTTTTCCTTTGATAACATAAAGTTATCTAATTTTTAAAGTGCAATCAGTAATACTTTTATAACAAATTTATATCAGTAATGATTTCTCGGTTAATGTCAAGTTGTCATAACAAAGACATTTTGAATAATGTCAACTTTGTATTAAAAGTGTCATAATTTACCGAATGACACTTTATGACAACAGTCATAAATATTCATGAAGGCTTATTCATGTTCATGACATGTGTTATGTCAGTCTTATTCACTTCAAATAAAGTGTTACCAAACATACATATGATGCTTTTGTTCGCATGTGTTCCCTAACAAATCTTCACACAAAATCATTTAAGCTGTAAATTACATTTACCATTTACTTAAATGGTGTCTTGTGTAGGCAGATGGTGGAAATAGATTTTATTCACGAGTAAAGGGGCTGAATACATGCAGCCTACATTTTCAGGGTTGAAACCAATGATTCATATCCTTCCACAGTACAATTATAAATTGCTTTTTGTTGGTTTATACCCCGAAAATCCCAATAAAATACACTAAACTTTATTTGTTTTATATGATTAAGTGGGGAAAAACTTAATGTGAACACTATTGGGAAGTACTTTTAAAACCATACCCAAATAAACCAAAGAAAACACTTTATTGTTGGCTTGTAACCTATATAGAGGGGACTAGAGCTTGTTTTTACCTTATTTAGCTGATGTACAGGTTTGCGTCTTGAGAAGACCCAAATTTTCTGAGGATGACAAGCAAGCTTGAAACTTCCAGCCTCTTCCGAAAGCAGTTCTTCTGATCTTTTCTGCCTCTGCCCCGACAGATGATGATAGCGGGAGGAATGCGCTCCAACGTCCGCATCCGCACCCGACCCTGGACAACCACTCCCCGCTCCGACTGGTGGGAGCGGGTTGTGATGACGGAGTTCCAGCCCTCTGATTGGCTGGACAAATTCCGGATGAGCCGGGAGACCTTCTTCTACCTGTGCGAGAAGCTGAGGCCCCGCCTGGCGCGCCAGGACACCAGCTTCCGGCTGGCGCTGCCGGTAGAGAAGCGCGTGGCTGTGGCCCTGTGGCGTCTCGCGTCCAACGTCGAGTACCGCACCATAAGCTCCCTGTTCGGTGTGGGGAAGTCCACCGTGTGCAGGTGTGTCAGAGACATGTGCCACGCCATCGTGGCGCTCCTCAGCTCCACGTACCTGCGTCCCCCCACCGAGCAGGAGCTGGAGGAATCGGCCCAGCTCTTCCACTCCTACCTGGGCTTTCCTCACTGCGTGGCTGCCATCACAACGCTTCACACAGCCATCATCACCCCATCGAGCAACGCGTCGGACTACGCCAACCCCGCTGGCTGGCTATCTGTCCTGTCTCAGGTGTCTGTGTGGCTCACGTTCCCGCTCACATCCGATTTAGACTTTCTTTTGTAACATATTTTGCTTTCTCTCCAGGTTGCCATCAGCGGTCAAGGCTACTTCTGGGATGTATGTGCCAGTTTCCCCGGTGGGACCGATCCAGCTGAGATCTTACAGAACTCTGCTCTGTGGGCCACAGCTGCTGAGGGTGGACTGTCTCCTGCCCAAACGCCTGTCTTCATGGGGAAACCGCTTAGGTACAGTTAGTAAGAAAGTAAACACATCACAGAACAACCTTCACATGACGACAATGGATCAGTTAAAATCATCCTTCAGTCTTTTTGTTTCACTAATATTTCTCTCTTTTTTTTTTTTTTTTTACAAAATGTGATCTAGGGGTTGGAAACATGGCTGAAAAATATATCACAAAATAAGTGCTTCATATCAGTTGATATCAATAATTATTGATTAGTTTTTGTTGTACTCATTTTCTCCTTTCTCACCACTCTGTTGTGTATTGGTAGCAAAACATTAAACTGCGGCTGCGCAAATTACTAAAACAAACAAACAAAAAAAAAATTGTAAAAGAACCGAAACCATTAGAACATTTCAAAATGATCCCAAAAATGTGATCACCTTTTGCAAAAATAAAAATCTGTTCTCTTCAGCAACAACTCCCCCTCCCAAAAAACCCCCAAAAACAATAACCAAAGATTCTGTTACACGTAATTTCAAACTCCATGTAGACTAATAAACTTTAAATGAATTTAAGCTGGGAAATTATACTTTTGACAACTAAAACAACTAAAATGAAACAAGAAACAACATGTATGGGGAAAAAAATCTGGTAAAATGAAAGGACTTATTTTTAAGATTTAAGGTAATCAAAACTGAATTCAGAATACTGAGCATAAAACTAACAAAACTTGACACCAATCAAACAAAAACCATCTTTCCTGCTATAAAAGATGTAAAATGAGACTGCAAGAAAGCTTTTAAGCGTTTGGAAAAATATTAGTTGGAAATGCAAAGCAGATTAGATTGACCAGGTCAGCCTCAGAAGTGGAATATATAAATTGTTTACTCGTTTGTGCCTGAGGGCCTTGTGTTGTTTGATTTTCAGCCTGAAACCCATCTACTGTCTGCAGGTATGTGCTGCTGGGGGAGGCCTGCTACCCGCTCCAGAGCTGGCTCATGAAGGCCTATCCGGAGCAAAAGAGCCGACGGGGATGTCGCACGGCGCTGCCGGAGCCTCAGCAGCTGTTCAACCGGCGCCTCGGCAGAGCGCTGCGCGCCTCGGAGGAGGCGCTGCTGAGACTCAGGGCGCGCTGGCAGTGCCTGAGTAAGAGGAACGACTGCGGGCTGGACGTGGTGCCCACCATGATGCTGGCCTGCTGCATTCTGCACAACATGTGCGAGTCCCACGGAGACGCCTTCAAAGCAGAGTGGCAGGTGGAGGTGTGTGAGGCAGAGAACCCCCAGCCCTGCCACAAAGCCCTGGCTCCTGCCAGCATGGACCAAAGTGATGCCGAGGAGGTCCGAGGCCTCTTCTGTGACTATTTCCAACAGCAAAGAACCTGAGTTTAGCTGCCGAGAAAGCTTTCTCAACTGGCATATCAGTTTTGTCTTTGCAAATATATAACCTACTGAACTTATTCATTCAAAGCATAAACACTTTTTGATGTTGAACACAGACAGGTGTGCGCTTTCATCTTCTCTGTAAACAACAGCATGTTGACTTGTCTGTCTGGTATCAGTTCCTCCATTAAGGCCAGTTCAGTCCAGTCTGTTTTCTTACGGAAATGCAAAACCTAACCTGAAGATGATTTCTACCGCCAGATAAACGCAGGTGCATTAACGCAGTTACAATACTGATCCCTTTGAACTATTGCACATTTTGCCACATGCAAATTTCAATGGATTTTATTTGGGATTTTATGTGGAAATCTAAAAGACGTGCATATTTGTAAAACAAAAAATAATGTATGATTTTATTTTTTTAAAGTGAGAAATGATGTAATGGCTTTGTATTCATCCTCCCAGAGCTGGTGTTTTACAGAATCACTTTTTTTTGTATGTTGCTGGAAGCCAATAGTGTCTCTACCAGCTTTGCACATCTAAAGACTGACTCCCCCCTTCCCCCTCCGTTCTTATTTGCAAAATACCTCAAGAATTCTTCATTATGACTGAATGTTTATGGTTGTTACGGTTGTTGATGTTTTCCTTATCTAGCCCGTCTGCTTGGTTGGACAACCTTGTTTTGGAACTTTAGCAGATATGGCATCCTCTTCCCCTTTTCTTTTATTATGAAATGTGATCTAGGGCTGGGCAATACGGCTAAATTGTTGCAAGTTTTATTGGTTATTATGATCAAATTTAGAAACGGTGAAGTGAGAGTTTTTTAAGCTTGAGATGTTGTTTTATAACCTAGCCCTGCTATAAATGTCTCAACTCTGTCCCTCACTTGCTGGTTTGTTCCTTGGTATTTATGATGCCGTTTGCTCACCAATATTCTCCAACAAACCTCCAAGGCTCTCATGTGGCAGCTGAATTTAAACTGAGAATAAATGACAGATGACTAGATTGTGTTAACAAGTTAGCTATCTGGAGGTAGATGACTGCAAGGCATTTTAGTTGGTAACACACCATGCTTTTCAGATTTTTTTTGTATTAAAAAATTTCAAGTTTTATAAACTCAGCATTTTGCAAGGACGTTTAAGATGTTTCCGAAAGGAAGAGGAGAAATACTTCTATGTTAAAAAAATTCATATTTAAAAAGATATTTTAGTTGCAATAAATTTCTTATTTATTGCAAATAAAATATGAGAGGTTTACGGACTGTTGGAAGTTGCGTAGCCCACATTTTTGTGAATGAGTCTTATGCAATTCTTCCCCCTGGCCTCAAGATGTCGCTGCAGTTCCAGCACACCTTCGCCTTCTGGTTACGTCGCTTTTGTTTTTTTATGCGGCGGTGCTGCTTCAGTGCCGTTAAAATATGGGTCTAGTTCCACTTTAACACCGTGCTCCAGGCATACTTTTCCATTTTCGCAAACACTTTGTTTAGACCACACCACACGCGTCCTACATTTATAATATGAGACGGTTATAAATGCTGTGGACAATTTTCGCATCTCATGGACGTAAGTTGGGGCGCTCGGATACAAATCCCACCCCGAGACCCGCCTCGCTCATTCAATTGGTCTGCCCCAAACCTGTTTCATGCAGTCCGCCGTCTGTCAGTCAACGCCGCGCTTCCCTCCTCCGCCTCGCTTGGCAGCATCCAGGAGTGTGCCCACCTTATTCCTGCGACGGGCGTTTGATGTGAACATATTTACGGCAAGGGCCGCCGGTTCGGCACGAGTTTTTTCTCCGTTATTTCCAGCTTTTTGCACTAGCTTTGTCATTTACCGTCGGGATGACTCAGGATGTAACTGGGTGTTGTCCTGTTGTTTTTAGCTAGGCGGACAAATTCCTTCAACCAGCCTGCTGTTTCAATCACTGCGGGCTGTCACTACGTTAGCCGAGGCGCTGTTTAGTTGGGCGAGCTAGCGGGCTAGCAGGGCGAGCACTCCCGACTGTCTTTGGCCTAATTTAGGGGAGGTTGTACTGATGTTGTTGGAATAACGCCGAAGAGACTGCAGACACATCAGCTGTCATCCGGTTGGATGCTGCAGGTTTGAACCACTCTTGACGGATGGTGAAGATTGAATTGGAAAAGGCAGTGACAGAAAAAAAAAACCTAAAGGGGCTTTAAGTTGCTGCCATTAGGAACAAAAAAGCAAAAAACCTAAGCTGTGTTCAGAGCGGTGCAGTCAGAGGAGTCCTTAGCTCCCGTTTCCAGTGTGAATCTCCCGTGATTTACGGTGGAACATCCGGGTGAAGTCGCGCTTCTTCCCGGCCGGGGGACAACTTGACAGCGAGGCCCCTTGGCTAAGTCTCCCCTCCCCCAGCCCCGACCATCCATCCGTCCGTCCGTCCAGTCCAGTCCAGTCCGACTGACCGCCTCCTCCTCGCTTGCTTGAGAGCCAAGCGAGGGCCGGGGATTCGGGAGAAACGGAAACCGTGAACCAGTGTTCGTCAGGTCCCGTTTGATCCGGGCTGCCACAACCAGGGGGGATGACTCTGGAGTCCATGATGGCTTGCTGCCTGAGCGAGGAGGCGAAGGAGTCGAAACGAATCAATGCAGAAATTGACAAACAACTCCGCCGAGACAAGCGGGACTCCAGGAGAGAGCTGAAATTGCTGCTGCTCGGTATGTAGCATGAAAACGTTCAAGCACCGTTATCGCTCGCAGTGTTTTGTTTTGCTGTGTGGGCAACTTACCGTCTTGGGCCTTTTTGGCAATGCTAATAAATATGCTACCCAGTCTGCTAACTGGAAGGCAGGTTTCACTATGAGGCTTTTAATATGATTTCTCTGAAATGCGCTGCATGAATTCTGATTAGTTGGGGGGAAAAAAAAACATTGGGCATTCAAATTGACCAGGGGCGTATACGTGAAAAGCACGGACAAATAATGAAACAAAGGTTTCCTGGGCACAGACGTGTAAAAAAAACAAACACCTTAATTGAACCACTAAAACACATACTTTGATAAACAAATGTAAAACAATTGTAAATACAATTTGTTTTTCAGCCACACGTTTTTCCAAAAACCTGTCATTAATCATTTCCATTGTGCTACTGCCTCTCCTTGATGAATGATTTCATCTGCACCAGGGATCAAACTGTTGCAAGTTTTATTGGTTATTATGGTCAAATTTAGAAAATGGAAAATTAGGACTTCACATAGCTCTTTAAGTCATTAACATTTGTGACTTTTCTTATTCTCTTTTTATTTAGAAGTGGATGATGGTTAGAAATGCACAGAACTGGCTTTTCCATAGTTGTGTTTGTGCATTTTTTTTAATGCAAAGTGCTGATTTGCCTATTTGAGTTTTTTAAAGTGTGCTTTGATGGCACGTTAGCAGTTACGTTTAATTCTATCCAAAAAGCAGTAATTACACGATGATCCATGTTTATATGTATATCCCTATAACGTGATTTTATTTTTCTAAAGGTAATTCAAAAAAGTATGAAGTTAAATATGTAGTGATATAGGTTTTCTGGTCAATACAGATTTTCTGAGAGGTCTGACCTGTTGGATCTGAATTTGACATATTCAGAATTAAAATTTTCTTTTCGGTTCTTCTTAGTTTATTTAATAACCTTTTTTGTTTGTAAGTTTTTTTTTGTTATTTTTTTTAACAACTTGCACACTGCATCTAAAATTTTTCTCTTACTTGACCGGCATGTAAATAACGCATGTCTGCAAATTTCTTCTTCTTCTTCTTTTTCTTCTTCTTCTTTTTTTGTGACCTTCTCTGCACAGTGAATGAACTGTGATGCAACTTCCTTAGTCGTAAGAGCCTAAAGAATATTTTGCATGCTCTGAACTTCAAATAGCATATTCAGGGAGTTTCTAGTGTCTGCCGAGCTCATAACAAAGCAATCTCAGTGCGCTTGTGTGTCCATGCTGCAAACTGTAATTAGCCTGTGACAGGTCTTGCCATTTATTAAAAGAAACTTGTGAAATTATTTTGTTGCCATTCGTAGCAACTCTAGAAGCAGGGTGCATTAGGAAGCATGTGTTGCTGATAGAGATTGAGCTGTTAAGCAATTTGCTCATTTATGTACAGCAGTTGTTGGGCTATTTGTTTTCCAACAGTAAAAACACCAGCTCCCGCATGAAGAAAGCCCTTTTGCTGCTGCTGCTGCAAAAGTAAATGCAATGAAGCAATATGTAGAGAAATAAGACTTGGTTGTAACACAAAGCAAAAGCTTTTTAATTTTTTTTTTTTTTTATGCCTGCGCTTTGGATCTGCAACAAATGATCTTTGAATCAGTTTCAGAAATTCTTAGTGAGATTTTAATGAGATGATGTGTGAAAATCTGCCACAATATGTGGACTTTTAACACATCTACATTAGCAAAAAGGAAAAAAAATAGAAGTCATTTTGAAGTATCCCATTTATTGACTTCAGGTTTATTTCTACAGGTGATTTCTACGAGAGACCCGTTTAAACAATCATTTAAATCGCAATAATTACAGTTGACAGATTTAATGTGAAAACAAGCTGAGTGTAATTATTAGAATAAAAGACTTGAGTGAAATGATGGGGAAAATATTAGCACTACTACTAATAATAATAACAACATGTTGACACACTTTTGTTGCAGTAAAGCAGTCAGACATTTTGTGCAACCGCTTCACTTTTTAATGATACATTTTCTCCAAATGTTTTATAAAAAAGATGATATTAACTGCAGGATTTGCAAACGGCAATCATGAACGCAACTAACGGTGGTTGCTTGTTTTGCATGAAATAGTTCATTGCAGGACTCCATGTTTTTTGCACTACTGATTTTTTTGCACAAAACAATATTCTCCATTTTCTTTTTGTGGTTAAATCGGCTGTCAAAAACAAACGCTTCCTTGCAGGCTAGTTATAGTTCCAGCAACCTTAACTATTGTAGAATGATCTTATACTTTCAAATTAATCAGTTTCAACTTCCATTGAATAAAAGATTACGCAGTTTAAAGAAAATTTAGTTGAGTATTTCTACAACAAAAAAAAACACTCCCCCTGTTTTGCCTCCAGCAGACAACAGGAAGACTTGGCTCAGGTGAACAACAGAGAACACCACAGCCACATTGCACAGCTTTTTAGATTGGAGCCGTTCTGTTTCCACCTTTTGTAATTTCCCATCTCATAATTATTAGGGCAACTTTCACCCGTCATTGTCATCATTTTTATTCTATACTGTGCTGCTACTACAAGGAAATCCTTGCAAAATCATTCCAAGTTTAGTGTAGCAATAATACAATAATCACTAGTAATCGTAAGATGTATCTGTATAAAAATAAATAATGATAATCGGTATAGCTCAATAAGTGCATTGTAGTTGACTAGATAAAGTAAAGTAACTGTTTTAATTTTAATGTCTAACTTTTAATGTCTTTTGTTATTGAAGATGTTCAGGATTTCTGTACATGTGGATGTACTAGCAGTTATTTAGTTAAGTTTTTACAGCAATTTATTGGCAGTTCAGAGGCTGGGAAAAAAAAATCTAACTTTTTTTTGTTTTGTTTTCATGCATCAAGTTTGAAACTCAGAATTTTTTCATTATCCTGCACCTAAATGTGCTTTTTCAGTTTAACAATGAAACAGACGTGTGTCAGCAAATCTTGCACATTTTTTGTTTTGTTTTGTTTACCCAATTACAAATGTCTGAGAATGAGTCTAAAATTTAGATATAAAGAAAGTTGGTTACATATCCTTTGTTGCATCAGAGGGAATAATCTTGCAATTTATTTTATGTGTTTTATAACCGTAGAGATTGGGGCGGGGGGTAGGGCATTAGACAAAACTTTAAATTGGTGTGGGCCAATAAAAGCCCTATCAGTGGATGTCTATTGTTTATCCATGAGCGTTGTTCTGAATGGACTTCCGTTCCATGTTATATTCATTAATCTTTTTATTATTTGTGCAGCTTCCGGCCTTTACATCTCTAGTGTGAGAGCTCAAGATGGATTCACATACACTTAGAAACCTAATGGAGTCTGGAGGGTAGAAAAAAAACAAAACAAAAAAAAAAAAAAACGCAGCAGCTTTGAGTTGCCTTCAACATGTTGCATAACATTTGTATGGCTAGAAAAGGGCTTTGGCTCCCTCACTTAGACCTTGCTGGGTGTCCAGTTTGTCACCGCTGCATTTCTTTTTATTGTTCGGTAAGCACTGCGTTGCACAGAGTTTACCCTTCTGGAGGACAAGGATTCTGATGGATTTGCCCCCTCATCCTGGAGTCTAGCTGAGTAGGTTAGCTATTTTTATAGCTGGTGTGTGGGCAGGTGGGAGCTGCTGTTGAATAAGTTGAGCTCCACTGCATTGATTCATAGTTCTGTGGACACAGGAACATTTGGCTGCGATTTATCACAAATGCGGCCGTTTTCCTTTTTCATTTCCTTCAGCGCGTGTCGAGAGATGCGCCACCACTCAGCCGCTCGTCAAGCACCTTTTTGGATCGTCGAATGTTGGAAACTTGCAGGGGGAGGCGGGAACGGGGAGGTGGGAGGTGGAGGAGTGGTGGGGGGGGACACAGGTGTCCATTTTTAGGACAATTAGAATTATCTAGGTTGCATCCTTGGTTTCAAAACGTTTGCTCCCATTTCTCACCCACCAAAAGCAGTCCTGGTTATCCGACATGTGTGTCTCCTTTATTTCCCCGCTGAATATCTCAGCTCAGTAAAGTAGGCCGCACTAGAGCCATACCATTGATGGGGCACATTCTGCTTCATGTCGTACATTTCGACCACTGTGGCGCTCTCCTCTACCTCGCTGCTGAGGTGAGAGGATCTGGAAAGAGGTGTTTGCTTTTCTGCTGTGCTTTTGAAAAAGCTTGTGTGCTGCAATCATTTTGGGTTTTTGCCAGACTGTCTGTGAGGGACGGATTTCGACACATCTACGGGTTGGAGCTACCGTGCATGGATTGGTGTGAGATTCTGATGATATGGGAACCTGAAGGAAAAATACCAGGGTTTCTCATTGTCACTTTAGATACACAAAGACCTTACACAAACTAGTTACTCATCTTAAAGACTGAAAAGCCATAATTGTTCCTATTATAACTTAATCTCCAAGGTATTTTTGAGTAAAATGCCTGTTAATAAGTGTCTAGCATGATGACGCGTCAAGAGATTTACAGAATTAAAACGTATTTGCTGTCAAAGTGATAAATATCATCCTTATGGTGAAATTAATGCAAATAGTTTTATAGGCACTGGATGTAAAGGCTTTCAGCTCAACACTATTTCTTTAAAACTCCTATTTTGGTATGAAAAAGGAAGTAGTTCTTGGGTCGTTGCCTTGCTGTTGGGTAGTAGAGTTGGACTTGGACAACACTTGGTTACATAAAAACTCAAGAAACCTTTTTTTTTTTAATCTGGCAGCATTTTTGAGTACTTGGTAGAAAAAATAAATGGGGGCATATCATTGATATTTATATTTTCTTAGTGTCTTTTTCAAAGCACCAAGTAAAGATCTTGACTGACTGTTAGTTGCTAATAACACCGAACTCCGTTCTACCAGCGCCAAACGGTTATCTTATTTTATTTATTTTTTATTGCAGCGCTATTTAATAATTTATAGGTTGAAATCGTAATATTCTTAGGCTGGTCAAACAAGAACGGGATCATTTTACACTTAACAGATTC